ACATATATATATATATATATATATATATATATATATATATAAGAAATAACAGTAAGATATATAATCCGGTGTTCTTACCAGTTATTTTATTTTAAAAAGAACAATGCTCGATACTAACAGTAGAGCATAATATTATAATTATTTGCTTATATATATATATATATATATATATATATATATATATATATATATATATATATATATATGTATGAAGCTATCCATTTACTAAGAGAAATGCTATCAATTAAATGGCAATTCCCCTACAGGGCCTTATATATATATATATATATATATATATATATATATATAGGTCCTGTACGAGAACTGTCATTTAATTGATAGCGCTTCTTAGTATATGGATGTTTTCATTATATATATATATATATATATATATATATATATATGCTGTAGCATATCTACGGAAAATAATGGGTATGTTCCCATTCACATAAATACAGTAGTAAATACTGTATGTTGGTCTGCAGTTTGAGATTCGTCTCCTGCTGTGCTGGTCAAACTCTCTGCCTCCGAGCAGAGGGGATACTCAGACGAGGCTATGTCGAATGGTAGAGTCTCGTCTCGGTAAACCGCAACCCGACCTCGTTTTATACGGTGTCTACGGGTAATTTTTGGCCTGGCCTACAGGCTCGGATACCCCACATTAAATTCGTGTGTTACATCTGACTTCCTGGGCGGTTGGTAGATATCCTTCTATTGGGGATTTCATTGTGGAATTCACTTGACTTACTTCTAGCAGTTGTTTACTTCTACGCGCCGCTGGCGAATCTTATATGTGTTGTTCGTGTCCTAAGTATTATCATTCATTACTAACCTTCGTTTGATCATTTTATTCAGTAACCTCCCCTATGTTACAACTATATATATATATATGTGTGTGTGTGTGTGTGTTTGGCCCAACCCTTCCAAATATAATTCTGAAATGAATATTGGAATTGTGGAATTTTCGTAGTTCTACGATTTATATTTTAGATAAAGTTTCATTAGATTTTTGTCACATTGATGAGATACTTCCATAATAACAATAATAATAATCTTGCCCTAATAATGATACTAATAATATTGTAATAATAATGATCTCGTAACAGTAATACAATCTGGCAATAATAATACTAATAATCTCGTACTAATAGCGATACCAATAGTATTGTAATAATGATAACAATAATGATCGCGTAACAATATTAGTAATAATCTTGTAACAATAACGCTAATAATATCGTAGTAACAGTGACACTAATAATAATGCAGTAACAATAATCTGTTAACAATAACAAATTAGTAATAACCATGTAACAATAACACTAATAATATCGTAGTAACAATGGTACTAATAATATTGCAGTAACAATAATCTGGTAACAATATCAATAATAACCTTGCGATAACAATACTAATGATCTTGTAATAACAATGATGCTAATAATATTGCAATAATAATAATCTCGTAACGATATTCGTAATAATCTTCTAATAATAACACTAATAATCTCGTGGCAATAACGATACTGACAGCATTGTTGAGCTAAAATCGAACAATGAGAACAATAAACCGAAATAAATGTTATGTGACGAACCCAAGATGCATTCTGAGGCACAATAAGAGATTAGCAACAATAAGTTATAATAAACTCGAACAATCATAACAATAAAACGAAATAAATGTTATGTGACAGATTCATGATTAAATAGTTTAGTTTTTTTTTTGTAGCCAATTCTCAAGAAGAAATAAATATGTATAAATTCACCTTCATATGTTTAGATTTTATTCCAATTTTAATCATCGCTTTTTAAAACAATTAACCTTGCCGAAGAATGACGGCAGTTATAAATAGCGGTGTCATTTTGACACTACGTCTTATTGCAGGCACGTTTGTCTATATTTGCCGAAGATCCATTCGTACCGGAGATCTTTCCAACGTAAAAAATATTTCCTTTTTCTTATTAAATCAAAAACTTGATCACTTCATTGAATCAGTTCAGGATGTTTTTTTGACACACCCAAAATACTATTTTCCAAACTTTAAGGCCATTATTACGCATTATTTATTTGTAAAGTATATTTCTCAGAATGAATATTGGAATGATGGGAGCTAAGCTACCATTTCTATTTTAGATACCGTTTCATTCGACATTTATTATGTCTCTGAAATGCTTTCATATATGTTTTTTCTTTTTCTTTTTACACTGGCTTCCGTAAAAGGAAAGATTCGATGTTGCGGCAATTTTTAAAAATATCTCAGTCAAGTATGTCAAGCAAAGGAAAACGCTTTCAACGTCATTGTTACACCACGCCGCCACTTAGCAGACGATATATTTCTGGATAAAAATATCGCACTATATTATCTCTCTTTTGGAAGAATATTTCGTTATTATAAAAAAAAAAATAGAAATAGAAAACGCTTCTTTTAAGATAAAATAAGATCCATCATTTTTTTTTTTTTTTTTTGATTTTTGACAGTAAAAACGAAGTAACGTTTTCAACTTCCATGATTGAATGGGCGCTCCAAGATAAAAGGAAAAGTTATCTAAAAGCAAAATACTGATTTCCAGACATCTAAGAGAATTATTTTTTTTTGAGTATATTTATCTACAATAATACTATAAGGTTTTCTTTTCAAATTTAGTAAATTTATTTCTCAAAGTTGCCGACATTAAACCCTTTTTTTTAACCCTTGCCTTGTGCGTATTACTCCTTTAAAGAATAGTCCTGAAAGCCTACTAATTTACATGCTTATTTTTTATTTTAAAAACCTTAAACTATGGGATGCCCGAATAGTGAATGAATCATTTCTTGAGACGGGCGAGTTTTAGATTCTTTTAAGGTCAGACGCTTCTGTGGATGCGTAAAAACACCACGGTCTATATATTTATCGAGAAATCTGTACTTGACAAAAACATCAAATGTATTTTAAGTGTCCATCTCCAACTTCAAGTTTAAGTTGAAGCCATAAAACATGGAAATAAATCCTAATATGAACTGCATTAAAAATATAAATCTATTTATGAAGAAGAAAACTGAAAGTATTTTGTAGAACCATACAAAGCAGTAAAGCCACTGAGACACAAGTGGTTGTATTCTGTCTCCTTCATTAATTCTTAATTATTTGTATGTACCATCTTGGTTTCATTCCTTAATCTTGTTATTGATATCAAGGTCTAAATCTGTAATTTACCGCTGTTGAAGTTGGCTTTGGCATTTTGGTAATTTGTCGGTTCCGAACTAATGTCTTCGCTGAAGGTTTTGATAATGGTGAGTAGGTTTTTCTGTTGGTTGTCACCCTTGGCAAACGTTTTAAGATCATCAATATAGAATAGTTGATTTCGTTTGCCATTTTGTGACTTGTATCCATGGATACTGTTGCTGAGTGGCGCTAATGAAAGACAAAAGAGTAGGAGTGACAATGAATCTCCTTGGAAGATCCTGCTTTTGATGTTGATTGGTCTCGATGTTAATGACCCGTTTGAATGGTTTAGGTTTAGTATAGTCTTCCATCTTTTTCATGCTTACCGTTATGAATTTGACCGATTGTGGAGCATACTCTGTATATTTTCAGACTCTTCTCTATGTATTAGTGTGGTACGCCGTCGACGCCTTTCTGCAGTCGATCCATGCTACCGATTCTTCTTCTTCTTCTCATTATTATTATTATTATTATTATTATTATTATTATTATTATTTTCTTTGATTTCTGGCGTTTACACATTTCTTTCCGGGTCCCGCCCAGGGACCTAAGGTTAGAAATGGCATCATGACACTTTCCACTGACAAAAAACAAATTACATAGATAAAGCACTTCGTAAGGTGTGGGCTGTACTTGTCAGAACAATTTTTTGTATTTCCTTGAGGCATGGACTTCCAGGAATCCCTTCAATTAGTCTACTGCAATCTTTTCCAACCAGTCCTAGGGCTCCAACTACAACAGGGATTGTTGATGTTCCCATATGCCACATTTTCGAGATTTCTATTTCAAGGTCCTTGTACTTTGACAACTTTTTGAATATCTTCAAAGATACATTGCAGTCAGCAGGGACTGCCATATCAATAAGGAGGCACCGTTTTTTGTTTGTGGTCTTTAATAACAATATCTGGCCGGTTGGCCTTGTATTATTATTATTATTCGTAATAAGTTTGGATTATTGTCCGTTACAAACCTGCATTATTATTTTGCATTTTAATTTAATTAAATCAATTGAAATCTTTAACTGATGAAAAGAATAGGCGTCTTGAAACATACCAATATTCAAATATATATATATATATATATATATATATATATATATATATATATATAATAAATTCATGAATCATTCATACAAAAAACAAATATAGATTCATGAATTATAATTGAATTTATGAATTATAATTGCACCTTTTAATTGATATACATATATATATAGTCGACTCTCCCATCGAATTTGACGTACGAGGATCAAGCAGATCAGTACCCAGGAAACCGACAGCCCAACAACAGCACATGAGATTTGATTATAGTGGTGAAGGCCTCGTGCAGGACCAGCCACACTTTTTGAAGGGCCGATTACAGAGACCTGGTGCACTACGTGCTACAAGGTTCCCAAACGACCCTCCGCAAGTTTTGAATTCAGAGTTGTCCTTCTCCTAGACCAGTTGCCATCCAAGTCTATAGAACCCAGTCTGTCCTGGAGGGAGAAGAGGATTCACACCTTTCCCAAGGGTATTAGCACGTAAGTGAATGTAATGGATTCGACTGGAATTCGAACTCGGCTCTCCGATTCCTCAATCCAAGCCGCTATCCATTACTCCACCGTGCCTATATTTATACATATAGTAAAATTCGATCGCATTACTGAGTAATTCTTGATTAAATGTATATAAATACAAAAAGAAAACAACGCCAGTCTTGCTATATTTCAATGTTTCATTCTTTTCACTTGATATGATTTTTTTCATTCTTGTATTCCATAATAAATCTTATTCTTTATTTTTATTTCATCTGTAGCTCTCTTTCCGAAAAGACGGTTGGATATTATGTTTTTGATGGACGATTGCCAATTTGGACGCCAGAATCTTGAGCTGGTCAAACAATTCATTGTCACCGTTATCAGGGAAATGCATGTGGCACCCTACTGGACACGGGTCGGTGTTTTCTCCAGCCAATGCAGCCAGCAACACAACGACATTTATCTGAGCGAACACCGCACATCGCAGAGTTTTATCGATGACTTCGACAAGCCAGATTCGCACAATATAGTGTGGCAGCTGCGTCGTCTACGGCACCATGCCTTCAACGTAAACAATGGAGGTCGGGACGATGTTCCACACATCGCTGTTACGTTTATCAATGATAAATTACACAAAAAAGAACACACGATACGCGAAGCTAACAGAGCGCGCTATAAGAAAATCAAACTATTCGTTGTAGCAGTCGGCAAAAAGTATTCACCCCAAGAAATTAAACAGTTGGCCGACCGAGACTTTTATATTAGAGTACAGAATTTTGAATTATTACGAAGACACACGAGAAATTTTCTGGATACTTTACTGAAAGGTGAGTTTAATATATATATATATATATATATATATATATATATATAGAGAGAGAGAGAGAGAGAGAGAGAATGTTAGTGGTAAATAGATTAGATAATCGTTATATTTATTTTTTTATATGTTATTTGATTTGTAACCTGTAGTCGATATTAATTTTGTCAAATTTTCTTAATGACACAGCGGTCCTTTCAGTAAATGCCCTTCAGTCTTAGTTTCCCCCGCCCCATCTCTCTCCCCCACCCCTTTTTCTTTTCTTTTCCTCTCCCTCCCTCTTCTTCTGATCTTTAAGATTAGATCGTCTATATGGTGTGTGTATGTCACCACAAAATGTATCCTTTCCGGTTACATCTTTAATGTATTAGACATCCGACAACATTCATATTTCTCTCACTTAAACCGTCTTTGACTCACCTCTCTAAAACTCCTCTCTGTTAAATTTTAATCTCCCACCTTCTCTCGTCTGTTACCCCTCTCTTTAGCTCTAACTTTCGTCCCACACTCTCATACTTACACTCTCTCTAAATTCTATTTTTATTTCCGGAGGTATTTTTTCTGTTTTTTTTTGGGGGGGGGCGGTTGAATTTGTAGGTCTAATGAATTGGATCGTATTTACGATTCCAATGGAATAAATTATGACCATGGAATATTAGTATTTAAGCCTTTTTATTATATATATATATATATATATATATATATATATATATATATATATATATATATATTATTTCGTCTTTAAGTTTTAACTTTAAAGGAAAAAAAAATTACAGTCTGATGATGGAGACATGGATCTTCGAAAGTACTTGCTTAATTTAAAAAAATATGCACTAGAAACATATGACAGTTGTTTTATAAATGAGGATCACATCATTCAGTGGATTAACAGTATTTTAATGCATGCATTATGTTCTACTAGCGAAGTGATTTCGCCACTAATCGCATTAATATTGCTGATTGCTTCTAAGTATGATTATTTCTTTATATATATATATATATATATATATATATAAAGGTGGCCTGACGATTGCATATAGCATGAAACAGACTGTCGTCTCTACTTCTATGTTCACTTTTATATTTACACACGCTCTATCTCTGATATTGAGCACTTTATCCCATAAATATAGCACACCTTAATACTATATTTCTTCACAAATATATATATATATATATATATATATATATATATATATATATATAATTTGTGTATTTGGGCAGCAATCCTTCTTTCATGCACATTTCTTTGAATGCGACAGACAAGGTACTTTTATTTAGTTGTTTATACAATTTCTCATGTGATCTAATAATTTTTTTTCTTTTCAGATGATAAATTATATAAAAAACTGTCCGAATGTTCTTTTTTTCCTAGCGGTTTCGGCTATACATTTAGCCATTTTCAAGGATTAAATATTTTAACTGTTAAATAAGAAATAGTTTGTTGTATGTATGTTTTATAAAATGTTTTCATTTTTCAAAACACGGTCAAGATATTATGTCCATGTTCATTGTTGATATTATTGAGTGTTTTTTTTTGTTGTTTTTATTAATGAGGCTTCTATTATTTTTAGCTTTTTTTGCATGTAGATGATGCTATTATATTTGTGTTGTCAACAAGTATGTTACGAATCGTGTCTGGTAGGTCTCTATGAATATTTAAATGAAATCTAATTGAGCTATGATCAGAAAGATGTAGTGTGAGTCTTCTTGTCAAACATGTAGTAGTTTGGCCTATATAATTATTTACGAATTTTGATTGATCAAGAATACAATTCCTTAATGGACATTTAAATTCGTAAATAATATTTGCCCTATTTAATTTTGTTCTAAGAGGTGAATTATTATTTTAACTATAAGGTTAGAGGTTTTAAATTTTTTGTAATAATTAATTAATCTAATTTTTTGCTATTGTCAACTGGTGTTGTGCATTTTTTATAATATTCTTAATTCTACTTTCATCTTGGTTATAATTTTCGTTCATTTGATTTTTATAAAAAATAATAATAATATTGTTTATGTTTCCATTCACGTCGTTGCTATTACGTACCTTAGACAGAACATTCAGGCAGTTTTTATATAATTTCATCTGAAAAGAAAAATTTATTAGATCACATGAGAAATTGTATAAAAAACTAAATCAAAGCACCTTGTCTGTTGTATTCAATGAAATATATATGTCGGAGGACGAATATTTTCTATGAGAAAAGAATGTTAAACATAAAAATGTCTTATATATATATATATATATATATATATATATATATATATAATAATTATACATATATATATATATATATATATATATATATAATTATATATATATATATATATATATATATATATATATATATATATATATATATATATATATATATATATATATATATATATATATAATTATTTTCACCTCCAACCTCTCTCTCAAAGGCGGAATGTGGCGAGTCTCTCGCTGCTCTATCGCTCTATTCTTTTCTTCTTCTTCTTCTTCTTCTTCTTCTTCTTCTTCTTCTTCTTCTTTTTTTCATTATTATTATTATTATTTTTTTGTCTATATTTCTGAGATGAAGAATTGTAATTATTTACATTATTTACATAGTTGTCTTCAACATTGTTGCCATATTGACAACGTTTCGGCCGTTGTAGGATCCGGCCTTTTTCAGTTAAATCTGAATTTCGAACTGAACCCCTTATTTTGTCCACCGAGGTAAACTGTTCTGGTTTCACGTGTCATGCTTCTTCCGGGTGTCTCGATATCAGTTATCTCCCTTTAACTCAACTCTCCGAAATTTTTATTCACCTCAGCTGTAGTAAGGTATTGAACTCACATCTCTCGTGGCCCAGTGTATAAAAGCGTGGGTTGCATCCAGTGACCTGAGCCAAAGAGTCGTGAATATGGCAACAAGGATGAGGACAACTGTCCGAACATTGAAAATTCTAGGGCATATAATGCGAAAAGCAGGCTTGGAAAATCTGATACCCACAGGGCAGGTTGAAGACAATAGGCACAAAAGAATACAACGACTCGCCTACTTAGTGTGGTTGAGTAAATGGATGGCGGAACAAGGATTAGGAGAGATAGCAAAAAGAGAAAAGTTATTAAGAACTACAAAGGATGGGAAATTGTGGAGAGCCATGATCCCTAACGTCCTGAGGGGACACGGGACATAAAAGCAGAAAAAGAACGAACTTAAATAAATGGATAACGGAACAAGGATAAGAAGAGATAACAAAAAGAGAAAATTTATTAAAAGCTACAAAGGTCTGGAAATTGTGGAGAGCCATGATCGCCTATGTTCTAGAGACAAGGACACAGCAGATAAAGAAATCGGAAGTATCGTTTTTTAAATCGAGAATTTACTCTAATACGGCGTAAATTTTAAGAGAAAAATAGAAAATTATTATTATTATTATTATTATTATTATTATTAAGGCTGAATTGTTGTCCGTTACAAGCCTGTATTGTCATTTTGCATTTAAATTTAATTAAAAAATGCTCGGAGGATGAACGAAATTCCTTTGTCCCGCCAGATCTAACCTTCACGACTAAGAGCCGCCATGACACTTATATAGTAACAAACCATCGACATTGACCCTGTATTGATTTTTTTTAAGCGTTTAACCCCAAGCAAGGCGGGAAGCCACTAGGACGCAAGGGGTTACAGAGAGTTGGAGCGAGAGCAAAGAGGAGTGATAGAGGAAAGGATGAAGAGAAGGATAGGGGATAGATCAAGGCATCTGCAAGTGTCGATTGACATTACATTTGAATAGTTGGAGATTATAGCTATCAGGAGAACAGGAAAAGGGGAGGGAGTTCCACAGGCGAGAAGTGCGAGACATGAAGCCATTGGAGTAGAAGAGACGGCTACATTTAACAGTTTCGACATTGAAAGGGTGAGAACGAGATGCCTAGTTGAACGCTTAAATTCATGAAGTCTGGTGAGAAGTTAGTTCCACTGAAACAGGTTCTTTTTCCCAAGAGGATGTTTCCCCGAACACTTAACCTTAAGTCTAGGGTTAACCGTTATCTTCCCCTCCTATCCATATAAACTACCCCTTAACATGACCCTCTACTTCGAGTGGCCCCTGGGCTTTGTACTGAGTGAACTTTAAAAAAAAAAATATGTCTTCCAAACCCCGACTAAATTTACATAAAACAACCAAAGTCATGTAAGGACAGGTCAATACTACACGGGTATATGGGTAGGGCTATGGTTTCGGGGGTCGATATTGGATCCGGTGAGGAAAAAGTTTTGCGATTACTATGCTATCATAATTTAGCAAAATTTTATCATTTACAATACAAAAATGATATCTTTTATCCCTATAAAAGGCAGAATGTGTGTGTGTGTGTGTGTAACGAATTAACGGCCGCAATTTTCGACGGATTTGCACCAAAATTTACATGCACATGCTCCAAGTTAGCGGGAAAGGCCAAGACCGACTTTGCATTTCCCAACTCCCATCAATAGTGGAAATAATCGATTTTTTCATGCTTCTACGGCAGTTTTCATGTAGTTTGCGGCCATTTTCTACTGACCAGAGTGAGAGCCTATAGCTGGCTGCCACGAATAGGCAGGAAGATTCTATTGGCTAGCGTGACAGCCAACAGCTGACTGACACGAATGTTAACTAGCATGCTAGCATGCAAAAAAAAATCGATAGCTGCATTCGTCACAAGTGGGAAAAATTTAAATTGTATGGCACTTTACTCCAATTGGCTCATTCGCTTGCTTAAACTCAACGTTGATTCTGATTCCGCAGAACTGGGTTCGGTTGGAAAAAGTATTTGTTGTTAACATTCTTTTTTCATTCGGTTTTTCTAGTTACGAGTCCTTTTTTAAAGCTGATCGTTTTGTGTTCATTTTGTTTAGTTCTTTTTTCGTAACAGATTTAATGTTTAGTATAGAGCTTAGAAAAAATTCGCAGTGTGAGATAGGCAAGAAGTAAGGCATGTAGCAACATCAGCACGGCAAAGGGCACTCCTTTAAAGGCAAGGAAGGGCAAAAATATTTTAAGTCAAGTGATAGCGATTGTTGTATGAGTCGTACGATTTTCGAATCAAGTACGGGCAACGCCGGGCCATACTGCTAGTCAATACATAAATCTCATCGTAAGGTGTTTTTTGTTTTAAGAAATATATGATAGCCCCGAAAGCTTTGTAGTGTAGCAGCTAATGAATAACAGAAATTTGTAAAAAAAAACAACAAACAAACAAAAAACATCATTCTTTCCATAACAGGCTTAATTCAATGCAATCTCACGTTAATCTCTTACCGTTTATAATATGCTTTTAAAATCTCCCATCTTACGTTTTCCAATCCCTTCTCGTGGGAACTATGTTGCCTACTCGCTGAATGGAATGGTGTGTAAATGTCTGTATAATTTTTTAAACGAAGACCCCTACGGAAATGTTCCTTAAATGTTTCATCCCAATTCCCCAAACCCCACGGATGTCAGAGATGTTGACCTTTTGGAGAGATCTCCATCTTTCCTTCAAATGTCAGAAGTAGTGGAGAGAAGACTGTTTAATTTTTTTTAGTAAACTGCTTCCGATCAAGGGGCTGGCTCTATTTATCATCAGGTTATTTTGTCGATCCCTAAATGGGAATCACGTGGTTCACGAATAATAGACTCTGAAAAAGGAGTTCGTCATCGCTTCAACGACGGCACGAGAACAGAATGAGTAGGTATATCCGTTTCGCATATTTTGTATAAATCGGCGTTCCCTTGAAAAGGAGGCAAAACCCTAAATTATCCGTGGAAATTCTGGAGACGGGAAGAGAATTTCCCATCTATTTTCTCTTAAAATTTACGCTGTATTAGGGTAAACCTTCGATTTAAAAAAAAAAAAACAAAAAAAAACAAAAAACGATGCTTCCTTTTTTTTCATCTACTGCGTCCCTTCAGGACATTAGCGATCATGGCCCTCCACAATTTCCCGTCCTTTGTAGCTCTTAATAATTTTTAACTTTTTTTAAACTCTCCTAAACCTTGTTCCGCTATCCATTTATTCAAGATCGTTTTTCTTCCGCTTCTATGTCCCGTGTCCCTTCAGGGCGTTAGCGATCATGGCCCTCCACAATTTCCCGTCCTTTGTAGCTCTTAATAATTTTTAATTTTTTTTAAACTCTCCTAAACCTTGTTCCGCTATCCATTTATTCAAGATAGTTTTTCTTCCGTTCTAATGTCCCCTTGTTCCGTATCCTTCAGGACGTTGGCGATCATGGCCCTCCACAATTTCCGTCCTTTGTAGCTCTTAATAATTTTTTTATTTTTTTTAAACTCTCCTAAACCTTGTTCCGCTATCCATTTATTCAAGATCGTTTTTCTTCCGCTTCTATGTCCCGTGTCCCTTCAGGACGTTTTTTTTTTTCATGGCCCTCCACAATTTCCGTCCTTTGTAGCTCTTAATAATTTTTTTTTTTTAAACTCTCCTAAACCTTGTTCCGCTATCCATTTATTCAAGATCGTTTTTCTTCCGCTTCTATGTCCCCTGTCCCTTCAGGACGTTAGCGATCATGGCCCTCCACAATTTCCGTCCTTTGTAGCTCTTAATAATTTTTTATTTTTTTAAACTCTCTAAACCTTGTTCCGCTATCCATTTATTCAAGATCGTTTTTCTTCCGCTTCTATGTCCCGTGTCCCTTCAGGACGTTAGCGGCCCTCCACAATTTCCCGTCCTTTGTAGCTCTTAATAATTTTTTAACTTTTTTAAACTCTCCTAAACCTTGTTCCGCTATCCATTTATTCAAGATCGTTTTTCTTCCGCTTCTATGTCCCGTGTCCCTTCAGGACGTTAGCGATCATGGCCTCCACAATTTCCCGTCCTTTGTAGCTCTTAATAATTCTTAATTTTTAATTTTTTAAACTCTCCTAAACCTTGTTCCGCTATCCATTTATTCAAGATCGTTTTTTCTTCCGCTTCTATGTCCCGTGTCCCTTCAGGACGTTAGCGATCATGGCCCTCCACAATTTCCCGTCCTTTGTAGCTCTTAATAATTTTTTTTTTTTTAAACTCTCCTAAACCTTGTTCCGCTATCCATTTATTCAAGATCGTTTTTCTTCCGGCTTCTATGTCCCGTGTCCCTTCAGGACGTTAGCGATCATGGCCCTCCACAATTTCCCGTCCTTTTGTAGCTCTTAATAATTTTTTAATTTTTTAAACTCTCCTAAACCTTGTTCCGCTATCCATTTATTCAAGATCGTTTTTCTTCCGCTTCTATGTCCCGTGTCCCTTCAGGACGTTAGCGATCATGGCCCTCCACAATTTCCCGTCCTTTGTAACTCTTAATAATTTTTAACTTTTTTTTAACTCTCCTAAACCTTGTTCCGCTATCCATTTATTCAAGATCGTTTTTCTTCCGCTTCTATGTCCCGTGTCCCTTCAGGACGTTAGCGATCATGGCCCTCCACAATTTCCCGTCCTTTGTAGCTCTTAATAATTTTAACTTTTTTAAACTCTCTAAACCTTGTTCCGCTATCCATTTATTCAAGATCGTTTTTCTTCCGCTTCTATGTCCCGTGTCCCTTCAGGACGTTAGCGATCATGGCCCTCCACAA